GCTGATCTGTGAGTTTTTTATTTTTAAACCCCAAAGCCACTCTTTGTTGCCATAATCATTTGTTTCTTCAACTAAAAACCAAAGTGCTTTGTACACCCTTTGGCCAGTTTTGTATGTGCCTTGATCCAACACTACATGTATCAAGCTTTTAAAAACTACGGAAAAAAGAAAAAAGGAAAAAAAATAAAATACCCGCTTTTTCATATGTAACTTAAACCATGAAAAATACTGGTCTTATTGATGAATAAAGTTGGAAAAAGTAGTTCAAAGTAATGCCACACATCTGCAGTGCACCGATAGGAAACCCACTCAGAAGCTACTACTATTCAGGTCACGAGCTTCACCTTTTTCTTTGTTCAACTTGACAGTATCACACTTCCAGGGTTCCTTTATTAATTACTTCAAGAACGACTTTTCACAACTTTGAGTTGTCAACAATGAAAGGGAGGGAGTGCATGAAGTTACAACCCTCTGAGAAGGTCTTTTTTTTCAACAGAAACAGCAAATACAAATACTTGGATTTTGGTTAATATCTCAGACAAAAAAGAATGTATACCAACTGCAGTTCAATTTTAAGAGCATTTTAGTGGTGCTTGGGCTGCCTGTTTCCCTAAGAGCGGTAAATGATGGAAGATGAAAAAACAGTGACAAAGACCGGTGGTTTCAGCAGTCAGCCTGCAAAGGATTCTCCTGCCAGGGATCCATCTAACTGCACAGACCCAAAACTTGAGTAACGCAGCTCTTTACGTCCTCATTTTCCAGATATGCCCAGGGAAGTTCCTCTCCAAACCCCTGGTCCCGTGGTACTGTTTCCTCAATGCCACCTTCAGAAATGCCTCCTGCAGTTCCTGAGCAGTGGAGGAGTCCCAGATGGAGGAGCAGCAGCGTGCTTCCCCACTGACCTTACACAAATCACGTCTTCCCCTTCACGTGGAGCGTTTTGATTGGATCCATGATGCCAAAAGTAACAGAAAGGGGTATGTTATGCTAAACAACTGTGCTCAGCTCAGTACAGTGCACTAAAGACTATTTTGCTGTCTTTTCCCATCAGGTACAAATCTAGGGAAGGGCAAGAAAGCCAGAACTAAGCATGCGAAGCTTCATTACTTTCTCGCTCAAAAGCCTTCCCGAGCAGTAAGTAGGAAAGGAGAACCAACAGAGGTGGAGAAGATAGACCTGGTTTTCATCTAAGCTAGCATACACGGACTCCTATCAGGGACACATTTAATAGCTGGGTCACTGGCAATAGATTCCTAGTTCTTTGCCATCACTTCTCCAGTAACAGAATTAAATAGATGTTGCTGGATTTTGAAGCTATTAACATGAAAACACCTCTGCTAGTTGACTCCAAATTTATGTTGTGAAAAGGGTAAAATAGCACGGACTGAGTACTCTCCCATGCCTCTTCCAAGGCACCTCAGCCAGAGGTAGTCCTGTAACGGTACATACCATCTGCTGCGCATCTCGGGTGATGCCATGCAGAGGACATACGGGCTATAAAAAGTTGTCATTTGAGGAGGGCATAATTGCATGTGAATCCTAAGTATGAGGAGTTCTCGTGACAGTTGTGTGCTGTGAGGCAGCAGTACACAGCTTCAGCAAGTTGGCCCACTGGTTCCTGGTTCACCTCTACTGGAGGGAGAGTGGGAATCTGGATGGGTGAAGCTGTCCTCTGCAGAGAGCCACACCAGGTTTGCAGGGAGAGCTGGCGGCCTCCTACTGCAGTTGACATCAGTGGAAAAAACAGCACATCCACGAATGCATCGTCTTCCTTAGGTTCTGCAGCAATTGCTATGCAACATGCGTAATATTAAGATTAATTTAGCAAGTCAAAGATTGATTTCAAACTATTTTTTTCTTTTCGTATTTATACAGACTTCCATCCTGCTCCATGTCATGCCTGTCTCTTCAGGACTCTCCTACTTCTCACAGCACTGCAGTTACAGCACGCAGTGCTCTCTAGCACCACGCATAAATCCGTCCTATTAGACAGTTATATACATCGGCAAATTGGATTACTACATTGAGCAGTTTACTCAACACATTTATCAAAATAACATTAATCCACATTAAATTATCTCCAATAATTTTCTAATTCCATATTATTTCAGCGTACTGTTCACTGTCTAACTGTGGAGGAAGGAGCGGGATTTTTTTCAGCGTTGCCTATACCTATGTACAGAGTTAATTTAATCAGCACCCACCATATTAAAATACTATGCCGAGTTATCTTCTACATTCTTTTTGATTGTCCATTTTTTTTTACTATTTATATTGCTATCCTGAATTGCTCACAGTTCTGTTTTAACCCGAAAGCTGACTCCAAAAAGACCCTGGTATGTTGGGAACTATGTTAATTTTCTCTCATCTCAGTACCTTCAAGAACTAAATCTGCCTCATTTGTAAGCTATTATTTCCTAGCTTTGTACAACCACCTGAAATGCAACAACTGTTTGGGTTTTTTTGTTGTTTTGGGTTTTTCCTCCTCCTGGCTTTAACAGTACCAATATCAAAGTATTACGGTCTTGGAACACAGTTCCCATTTCTTCAGCTAATGCACTAGCTAGCATGCAAGCTATGTTGTGCCAATGCTGTACATACTGAATGTAGAGCAGCAAACGCAATAAAGCAAGAGCAAAAGTAATAAAGCCTTATTTGCTATTAAAATAATGTACTGATGACATAACGCACTAAGCATGTATACAGACTTCTCTGCTAAGGAAGAGGGTGTAATTTCGCATATTCACCTAAAGTTGAGCGAGACCTTCAAACATGACCTGGCAGATGCCATTTGCCTGGATTTGTGCATGCCACGTTTGATCTGGATAGAAGCATCATTCGCGCAGATGCCCTCTGCTTTCAAAACACCTTAACTTGCTTCCAAATCCATGTGTAGTTTCAGCATCAACAGGACTGATCCTTGTTTAATTAACTGTGTCTTCACTGACACCAGAACAGCAGCAGCAGCTTCGAGCCACAAGCCAGCACGTAGTACCAGTGAAGTTTTTTTTACAAAGCACAAAGTTATTCCTTAACTGGGGAGTTTCTTCTTCCAAACTCGTCAGGAGCGGTTTAGCCAGAAAAGCCCACGGACAGAACTCAAACATGAAAATTTTACACTTGAAAGCGTACATTTTCTTTACAAATGAATTTAATTTCAGGGGTGGCAGAGTGTGAGTCCCACCCTCGCGATGAAAGCGGAGCCTTTTCAAACACACTGGAATGTACAACCGTGACACAGGTCTCAGATTCTGGACACCATTGCTTTAAAAGTTGATGTTTTTTCTGGGTCGGTGGTGGGGGGGTGTGTTTTGTCTGTTTTAAATATGTGTGTTTGATTTAATAGTTATTTCATCAAATAATTTTCTGTTTCTCTCGAAAAAAATCTACATCCAGGTACTTCATGTGTTTGTACCTCACTAAACCAGTGACAGAGCACCTAGCTCAAAACAAGCATCGCCTTCCTTTTACCAACACTGGGCATCGAGCAAGATGCTGATTTTATTGCAGTCTTTAACTTAACGCTGGGGAATAACCCTGCCCTAGGGGGAAACCAAAACACTTCAGCAAAATGGGTGTTGAAAGAAAGAACCATCCTCTGGATTATTGCCGGTCTAAGGCAAAGGCACACAACACACATTTTGGAAACGGAGCAAACGTCCATTGTGCACGGACATCGTCAACTTCCTACACCTGAAACCTGCAGGCCAGGACTGCAGAAGTGTATTGCCCAACGCCAACTGCTTCGCAGAGCCCCTTTGTGTTCTCTTAGGATGAAAATGTAGTGGAATCACGGTACAAAACCCCTCAAGATTCACAGCACGAGCAGAAAACGCTTTCTGAAACCCGAAGCTGGACCTTCTAAGCTTAGCAAGAGCACTCATAAACAACTTATAAAAATAGAAGCGTCTTAATAGGGCTAATTAAATAATCTGACTTGTTCAAGCTGGTTGATAGTATTCATATAGGCTGATGCGCTGTCCTGAACAGCCCTCTTACGTAATCAAAACAAGGGAGCAGATCGTAGGAAAGTGCTAGCATGCGCTCCTATCCCCTTGCTGAGCTTAAAAACTACCAACCTATGGAGGCCGCCGTGGAAGGTTTAACTGTTCAAAATCCCGGGACCGTGTGATGTTCTTAATCATTACCTATGGGAACATCATTTACATAAGCATGGAATCATGCACATATGATGCACAGTTTAACTTCTTTCATTTATGGAGAATACTTTTAAAATATTTCTACCAGAAACAAGTTATTTGCGTTGCAGTCCTCTAATAAGGAATAAACTAGAAGCTCAGTCTATTTGCATTTTCTACACAGTTTGAACACCACCACAAGATTGTGAACAACTACAGAACCTGGGGTTTTTTTGTTCGTTTACCTGGTTTCAATAATCTTCACAAGAAATGTT